GAAAGAGGCTTCAAATGTGCGAGACAGTAAATAGATCGTCCCTTCCCAGGGAAATAGTCTGTAGGATTTGTTGTCAGTTTCGACACATACGAAGCCTGTTTCCAAACTTGTGACAAAATGGGGTTGAATAAAGTATTGCGTCTGGAAGTAACGACAGATTTACACGTAGAAGTAAATTTGGCTAGATCTCAACTCGACAACATCTCATGACTTGGTCAAAAATATGACAAACCATTCAAAAGGCAAAACGGTTGAACAGTTTTATTACTTGTCCCACTGACTGATATTGGAACGTATAATATTATAAAAGTTGTAAAATGGTTTTGTCTTTGACTTACATGCTTGGGGTGGAAACGTCCTTTTTAGTGGCGAGACATCAACAGTGAAAAGAAATAAGCACCATGTTCATGTTTCCAGAGAGAAGACATTGAAACTTGGCATAAAAAAACCACATTTACACACACACACACACACACACACACACACATACACATATATATATATATATATATATATATATATATATAAATATATATAATATATATATATATATATATATCCTTATTTTTTGTATTTATCCCATGCATGCATTTTTATCTAATACTACAGACAAGGTTTTTTTTTAGTTTTTTATACAATTTCTCATGCGATCTAATATTTTTTTTTTTTCGGATGATAAATTATATAAAAAATTGTATCCGAATGTTCTTTTTTTTCGAGCGCTTTCAATATACATTTAGCCATTTTCAAGGATTATATTTTAACTGTGAAAATTAGAAATATTTTATTGTATGTATGTTTTATAAAATGTGTTTTTTTTTTTTTCAAACACGGTCAAGATATTATGTCCATTTTCGAAGTTAATATTATTAATTGTTGGTTTGTTTGTTTTTTTTATAAGGATTCCATTATTTTTAGCCTTTTTTATTGATAGATGATGCTATTATATTAGTATTGTCGATATAGTATATATCATATATATATATATATATATATATATATATATATATATATATATTTCATTTCTTTACAGAAGACGACCATATCTTACTTTTAAAATGAAGATTTGTTTGATCCGTAAGTATAAGAGGATCTTAAAAAATAAAAACAGGATGAAATATGGTAGAAAACAAACACAAAAAAAACTCAGATTTTAAAATAATTTATAATTATCCTTAATTTTTAAGTGGTAAAAAACTTACAGTTAAAAGAATATCGGGTTGATTGGAAAAGATTCCAATAGTCTCATTTAAGGGATTTCTGGTAGCCCATGCCTTACAGAAATACAAAACATTGTTCTCGCGAGCACAGCCCATACTTTACAAAGGGATTTATCTATGTAAAATGTTGTGTTTTTTTGGTTTTTTTTTTTCAATTGCTCAGTGGAAAATATCATGGCGCCTTTTCTGAACTTACGTCTCCAGTCGGGAACCGGAAAAAAATCAATACACACCAGTAATCAAAGGAAATGAAATAATAATAATAGTAATAATAATAATAATAATAATAATAATAATAATAATGACATCAGCATGTAAAAAGGTGTCTAATATTTTAACTAAAAAAAGATCTAAAATTGCAGGGAAATATTAAAAGTATAATTATAATGTTTTATTGAGAAAAACTATGGACTGGCGGCACATGTGCGTAGAAAACAATATGTCACATATCACAAGACGCACATGTGCGCCAAAGTATAAAACGTAAAATAAATGCACAGAAAAATACCAAACTAAAACTGCTCGAGGAAGCTAGATTTCATTTCGAAATCACCACTTGGCAGCTGTCACTTTGTCAACCGCCAGTTTCTCAATATCATTTGACAAGAACCACCCACTCCCAACTGTCACTCAGAACCCCACCCCCTCCAAACAATTATACTCTGCGAATAATTCTTGTATACACGACGTGATGAACAAATCATTATAATTATAAGTTTTGGAAAATGCCTTAAAAATGTTTCAGGAATCAAAATTATTCTTGAGTTTACAGATCATTTTTGCCAGCCGTCAACCTTGCCTCAGCCGTCCCATCTCACTCCCCTGTATGGCGTTAATAATATATTGATTTTAATAATTACAGAGAAGAAAAATAAAACAGAAGGGGGAGATGGAAAAAAAATCAAATCAAAAGGAAAACTTTGATTATAAAAATGTTCAAAGATGAAAGTAACAATTATTTGGGGACAGGCGACATTATAAAAAATTAACAACATGCGCAAAAAAAACCGACCACCGAATAAATAATAATAATAATTAAATATTGATTAATGATATCATCTGTGACAATAATTACGAAGAAGAAACATCGGTGGAGGGGTGAGATACAAGGTGAAGCTGAAAAACGTAGGAGACGATTGATTGTTAAAATAATTGATCGGGAAAATTGATTAAATCGTCCATTTTTTTTTTTTTAAAAAAACAATCAATTGCGAATGATGAAGACGGTAACGTTGTTAATAATGGCAGTCTATTAATAACGTTTGCCTCAGTTCTTGAACATTAACAATCCTTGCATTATTTACATTATTCGGACTGTTATCCTCATCTTTGCCATATTCACAACGTTTTGGTCTCTATATCTCTGAGATGTGGTATTACGATTACTTACATTATTTACATTATTCGGACTGTTATCCTCATCTTTGCCATATTCACAACGTTTTGGCCTCTATATCTCTGAGATGTGGTATTATGATTACTTACACTATTTACATTATTCAAACCGTTATCCTCATCTTCAGTGTCATATTCACAATGCTTCGGCCTCTATATCTCTGAGATGAGCTATTATGATTACTTACTTAATTATTTACATTATTCGGACTGTTATCCTCATCTTCATTGCCATATTCAAAATGTTTTAAGCTACGGCCTTCTTCAAGTGATTGGAACTTCGAATAGAACCCTTCATTTTGTCTACCGAGGTAGATTGTTGTAGGTCCATGTTCCATGCCTTCAATATCTGTCTATATCTCCAAAATTAAGAATTGCCATATTTACAACGTTTCGGCCTCTATATCTTTGAGATGAGGTATTATAATAACTTGCATTATTTATATTATTCGGACTGTTATCCTCATCTTCATTGCCATATTCACAACGTTTCGGCCTCTATATCTTTGAGATGAGGTACTATGATTACTTGCATTATTCGGACTGTTATTCGCATCTTTATTGCCATATTCACAACGTTTTTCTCTCTATATCTCTGAGATGAGATATTATGTTTACTTGCATTAATTACATTATTCGGACTGTTATGCTCATCTTCGTTGCCATATTCAAAACGTTTTGGCCATTGTAAGCCCCGGCCTTCTTCAGGTGATTGGAATAGAACCCTTCATTTTGTCTACCGAGGTAGATTGTTCTAGTTTCACGTGCCATGCCTTCAGTATCTGTATATATCTCTGAGATGAAGTATTATGATTACTTGCATTATTTACATTATTCGGACTGTTATCCACACTATCATTGCTACATTCGCAACGTTTCTAGTTCCACGTGCCATGCCTCTTCCGGACATCTCAGTTATTTCCCTGTAACTCAATTTCTTCAAGTTTTGGTTCACCACTGCTGTGACTTTGTATTGAACTCACAACTCTTTTGGGTCTAGTCCACTGGACCAGGTATCCTTGACAAACAGACATTAACAATCCCCCTTTTTTTTCTGATTCTCAATGCCCAATGATATAATCAACATGTTGGCTTTTTACGCCACATCAAACAAACGTTTAGGTAGGAAACCACCAATCATTCCGGGAAAGAACGCTAATTGCAACTGGATCGTTACAGATGTAAACAGTTTTACTAAAAAGATTTTATACATTTTATGTACTGGCTCGTCGGTCAACCAAGGAATGGCGAATGTTTCCTTATAATGTAATGTTTAATTCAGTCAGTTAATTATCATACGAGATACAGTGATACCTGGGCTTAAGTCGTTTCGAGTTAAGTCATTTTCGAAGATACGTCGGTTTTTAAACAGAAGGTGCCCCAGACCATATATGGCAGCAATACTCCATGCAACGGCGAATGGTTGATTTGTATATTTGAAGTATGTATGTATGTATGTATGTATGTGTGTGTGTGTGTATGCGTGTATACGTGCATAGATAGGGATCGTACAGACTTTTTTCCCCTCCGTTTGCATATGGCTACAAGTGTACTAATCTGACAAATTTCTACTTTTTGACTGAAGATCTTAAAAAAAAAAAACTATCAAAATACAAGGACCTTGAAATCGAAATCTCAAACATGTAGGACATGAGAACATCAACAATCCCTGTTGTAGTTGGAGCCCTAGGACTGGTTGGAAAAGATTCCAGTAGACTAATTGAAGGGATTCCTGGAAGCCCATGCCCCAAAGAAATACAAAACATTGTTCTGACAAGTACAGCCCACATCTTACGAAGGGCTCTATGTAAAATATGTATAATTTAAAAAAAATAAAAAAATGCTCAGTGGAAAATGTCATGATTTTATTTCTGACCTTAAGTCTCTGGGCGGGATCCGGAAAGAAATGAGTACACGCCAGAAATCGAAGGAAATTATAATAATAATAATAATAATAATGTCTTCGTTTATGGTCGGGAGTAGTCTAGAAGCCGGGTGTCAAGAATGTTGTTTTTTTTGTTTTTTTTTTTTTTTTTTTTTCTTTTAAATTGAAGAAAGAGGCAGCCAGAGCATCTTGGGTATCACATGTAGATACGTGTAGATGTTGACGAGCTGCTCTCACAATCGATAATAATAACACGTCAAGTTTTTTTTATGGTTTTAAATATGTGATATATGTCTATAATAAAAAAAAATCGAAGGTGCTAGTTTTTAATGTCCGAAGGATCGTTTTCGTCTGCTGAATATAACAGCTTCAGTCGTCAGACTATTATCGCGAGAGTTCTTGTTAAGTTTCCTTTTCTTTGCAGGTTAGATCGTGATAGTGTATTGCGTTAACTATTTACATGTTCTTCCATATTTTTTTTTATTATTTGAATCAAACATCTAATCGATCATTGAGAAAGCACTATATACGATAAGGAGACATATCGATCTGAGGCACGATGTCTCTTGTCGGTCTCTTTGAAGAAAAAAACCTTTCGTGATTGGAGGTAAGCGTAGAATGTTAGGGAGAAAAACGCAACTAAAAAAGAAATTGAACAAAAATTGGGAAAAAATCGAGACTAGGCGTCTGTTAAGCAGAAAAATAGAAAAGGATGATGTTGAAATGGGAAGAGATATTTGAAAAATGAAATTTACAAAAGAAAGAATGAAAGAAAATACATGGAAATGCGTGAGTGAAAGAAAGAAAGAAAGAAAGAAAGAAAGAAAGAAAGAAAGAAAGAAAGAAAAAGAGAAAAATGTGAAAAGAAACACAGAAAGAAAAAACAAAGAAAGAAAGAAAGAAAGAAACAAAAAAACAAAAAAAAAAACACACTAAAAAGACAAGAAAAAGAAAGAAAGAAACAAAAAAAAAAAAAGACATGGTAAGAAACAATGAAAAGAAAGAACGTGATTAAATTAAAAAAGAAGAACAGAAAGAAAGAAAGAAAGAAAGAAAGAAAGAAAGAAAGAAAGAAAGAAAGAAAATGCATCGAAAAGTGAGACTGAAACGAAGAAAGAAAGAAATAATGAAAGACATGAAGAAAAGACATGGAAAGAAACGATGAAAAGAAAGAAAGAAAGAAAGAAAGAAAGAAAAGATGTGAAAAATAGCGATTGAAAGAAAGAAAGGAATAAAGAAAGGAAGAAAGAAAGAAAAGAAGGGAGGAAGGCTAAGAAAAAGAAACAAATAGAAATGCATGATTAAATTAAAAAGAAAGGAGGAAGGAAGAAAATACTTGAAAATCACGATTAAAATAAAATAAAATTTGGATTGAAAATAATTATGGAATTATATATATATATATATATATATATATATATATAGATAGATAGATAGATAGATAGATAGATAGATGTTTGTGTGTGTGTGTGTGTGCGTGTGTGTGTGTCCGCCCGTGTGTGTAATTATGTAAATAAATATATACCACAGTTTGCAACATACTTAGGTTACAGCGAAAACAAAACAAAAAATATAGAGAATATGAAAAGAGGAAAGCAAAAGAGAAAATGAAGGAATGATGATCGGGAAAGAAAGAAAGAAAGAAAGAAAGAAAGAAAGAAAGAAAGAAAGAAAGAAAGAAAACGAAAGAAAAAGCAAGAAAGAAAAGAAAAGAAAAGAAAGAAAGAAAGAAAAAGAAAAACATAAAAGAAATAAAAGAGAAAACATAAAATCTAAAGAGAATAAGGAAGCAATAAAAAAAGATTCGATGAAAAAAAAAAAGTTTCAAGGAAAGAAAACGAGAGAAAAATGGTAGATCTGACGGAATACAGAAACAGTTAAAAGCAGTGAAAGCGAAGCAGGAGAGAAAAAATTTCAACAACACAAAGTAGAGAAAATGGCGAAAAAGTAGGGGAAAAAAAAGAAAAAGTAAATCTGAGTTTAGCGAGCGAGAAATAGATCCCCCAACGTTTATATTATTAAAGGGCGGGGGGGGGGTGTCCATGCGTCACAAGCGGAGCTGACAAGCGGAGACGATAGAGAATGGACGGATCAACAGAGATAACTTACAACCATTTTTCAAGGTTCAATGGCGTGTTGATCTGACATTTTAACACCGACAGCCACTCGCAGCGACCTCTAACGGCACGGCGCAGCCATGCCTTACTTCCCCTTGCTTCTAGATTTATTTATTTATTTTTTGCTTCCGATCATTGTGCAGGAGCCAGTGTTTACCTCTCAACTACATTATGTCTGTTAGTGTGTACATCCTGAAAATGTGACAATATTTGCTGTTAAATGCGTTTACCTAATAAAAAAGATTCACCTAAAGTACATAAATTATATTTATTATCGTAAACACACTACCACATCCGACTACTTCATATATATATTTATATATATATATATATATATATATATGTGTGTGTCTGTGTGTGTGTGCGTGTGTCTGTGTGTGTGTGTGTGTGTGTGTGTGTGTGTAATTATGTATTTGGGCAACACACTACCACATCTGGCTACTTCATATATATATATATATATATATATATATATATATATATATATATATATATATATATATATATGTGTGTGTGTGTGTGTGTGTGTGTGTGTGTGTGTGTGTGTGCAAACAAACTAATAAGCTTTAGAGAAATTGTCCGACAAAGTCTATCGGTTTAATTTTTAATACGTTTTTCTAGATTACATATACGTTATCATACATCCGGACTGCATTTGTAAAGAAACTAATCTTCTACGGGACGTTTCACTTCACGGCGTCGGCGACCATGGCTCTCTACAACTTCCGCTCCATTGTAGTTCTTAAATATGTTGTCTTTTATCTCTCCTGAACGTTTTTTTTTCGCCATCCATTTACTCAATGTCACTAAGTATATATTCCTTTGTCTTCCTTTATCCGCCTCGCCGATCAATCTGACCTGTGATTGTCAGATTTTCATTGTCCTGATGTTAAGTACAAATTTCCTTTTTGTTTCCATTTTTTTCTAAAAGTTCGATCCGTGGTAATTTCAGCATTCACACTTCAAGTCCCTTCTTCATATTTGAGGAAATTTTTCATACAGGAAGACTAATATTACGTAACAATTCAGTAAACTTTTCTTTATTTCTAACAATGTTTTTTCTGCTTCTTAAAACTTTGAGACATGACCACCCCTTATCGGTGGTAGAGAAAAATCACGTAATGTCCAGCCACCGGTTGAACGGTGGGCAAACATTTCTAACTATTTTTATATCTACTGTGAAACATTGCATACCAATTATTTATGATTTTGACCCAGGAGCTCAGTCAGAAGGGTTAAAATTCTTCAGGAACGCCACGGTCAAAGGGTTAAATAACCTGCAAAGTGTTGATAATCAATCAATCAGTAAATCAAAAGGTAGAAAAATGCACAGCCACCGGTTGAACAGTGGTAGAGATAAGGACGTAATGCCCAGCCACCGGTTGAAGAGTATTAGAGAAAAATGACGTAATGCCCAGCCATCGGTTGGTAGAGAAAAATGAGTTAATGTCTAGCCACCGGTTGAACGGTGGTAGAGAAAAATGAGTTAATGTCTAGCCTCCGGTTGAACGGTGGTAGAGAAAAATGACTTAATGCCCAGCCACCGGCTGAACAGTGGTAGAGAAAAATGACTTAATGCCCAACCACAGGTTGAACGGTGGTAGAGAAAAAACGGCTTAATGCACAGCAACCGGTTGAACAGAAGTAAAGAAAAATGACTTAATACCCACCCACCGGTTGAACGCTGGGTCAGCAGTAGTAACTGCTTTTATATCTACCATGAAACATTACATACCAATTATTTGCGAATTTTGAATTAGGAGCTCAGGCAGAAGGGTTAAAATTCCTCAGGAATTCGGGGATCAAAGGGTTAATTTTCGAGTTCATTGCGAGTTCAAGGAAAACAATACAGAGTTTATAACAGCATTTTTGGGGGGGTTCTTCCGATCATCCTTAACTTTTAGCAACATAGATTATATTATCATTTACAAATCCAATTTAACTAAACGAACCCCGAATACAAGTGACGCCATGAATTGAACCGTTTGTCAGTTAACGCATTTAAAATTCCTGAAATTACATGCGCAGTTCACTAAGGATCACATATCATATTGACTTTGTCGGTCAAATTCAAATAAAAAAAAATATTTGAACGACACACACACACACACACACACACACACACACATATATATATATATATATATATATATATATATATACCGTATATTTGCGCCGCTAAAGCGACCTTTAGAGAAGACGCGGTCAAAAAATATATCAAATTTTCATGAATCTGCCTACATGCTAATACCCTTGGGAAAGGTATGAATCCTCTTCTTCTCCCCCACCTGCTATGGGTAAATAGCAGGATAGACAGGGTTCTATAGCCTTGGATTGCAATTGTATACCGCAGAAAGAAATGGCAATCTACTCCGGGAAAAATACCTCGTCAGTCATGTATCGAAAGATACATGATCGCCTAAGCGTGTAACACGCATGGCACATAACAGACTGAAATTCTCTTACGTGCTAATATTCTTGGGAAAGGTATGAATCCTCTTCTTCTCTCCCCAACTATGGGTAAATAGCAGGTCAGACCGGGTTCTATAGCATTGGATGGCAATTGGTCTACCGCAGAAAGAAATGACAACCTACTCCGGGAAAAAATCTGCCTCGTCAGTCATGTATCGAAAGAAACATGATCGCCTAAGCGTGTATCACGCATGGCACATAACTGACTGAAATTCACTTACGTGCTAATATTCTTGGGAAGGGTATGAATCCTCTTCTTATCCCCCACCTGATATGGGTAAATAGCAGGATAGACCGGGTTCTATAGCCTTGGATGGCAACTGGTCTACCACAGAATAAATTACAACCTAATGCGGGAAAAAAATCCGCCTTGTCAATCATGTATCGAAAAATACATGATCGTTTAAGCGTATATCACGCATGGTACAGAAGTGAATGAAATTCACTTACGTGCTAATACCATTAGGAAAGGTATGAATCCTCTTCTTCTCTCCCCAGCTATGGGTAAATAGCAGAACAGACCAGGTTCTATAGCTTTGGATGGCAACTGGTCTACCGCAGAGAAAAATGGCAGCCTACTGTGAGAAAAATCCGCCTTGTCAGTCATGTATTGAAAGATATATGATCATCTAAGCGTGTTTAGATGTTAAGATGTTATTCCAACTAAAAGTGCAGTTAGATTCAAAACTAACTTTGGGTTTACCTTTATTTACCAATACTCTCAAATAGATACCCTAGAAAAAAGTTGTCAAATATTGACTAAGCAGATAACTACGTTCTCACCGTAGACATCATTACCAATGCCACAGTTCTCCTACATCATCTAGAAAATACAGCCACTCTATGCCAATGCCTCTAAAACTGAATTCATAGATATCAATCAGCGAGGCTCAATACAAATCGGTCTAAGGCTGAATCAATAAAGCCTGTCGAATCTTTTACATACTGAGGAAACGATACCAATTCTTATGAAAAAGACGTGAAAATTCGCATATCGAAAACCTGGGCCTCCTTCAATAAAACTGATGGAATCTGGAGATTTGATCTACCAGGCAACCTCACAGGAAGATTCGTTCGAGCCAATGTAGAGGTTTGGTTTGGTTTATTTTGTTTTACGGCATATCAACCTCAATGGGTTATTTAATGCCGACAACATTTTTAGGATAGATTCGTATGAATAGAATATGTATTCTTTTGGTTAGATTGGTTTCCTTTATTTTGTTTTACGGCATATCAACTTCAATGGGTTATTTAATGCCGACAAAATTTTTAGGATAGATTCGTATGAATAGAATACGTATTCTTTGGTTTAGATTGGTTTGGTTTATTTTGTTTTACGGCATATCAACCTCAATGGGTTATTTAATGCCGACATTTTCAGGATAGATTCGTATGAATAGAATATGTATTCTTTGGTTTAGATTGGTTTGGTTTATTTTGTTTTACGGCATATCAACCTCAGTTAATCCCGACAACATTTTTAGGATAGATTCGTATGAATAGAATATGTATTTTTTTGGTTAGATTGGTTTCCTTTATTTTGTTTACGGCATATCAACCTCAATGGGTTATTTAATGCCGACAAAATTTTTTATTATTCGTATGAATAGAATACGTATTTTTGGTTTAAATTGGTTTGGTTTATTTTTTTTACGGCATATCAACCTCAATGGGTTATTTAATGCCGAAAATTTTTTAGGATAGATTCGTATGAATAGAATATGTATTCTTTGGTTTAGATTGGTTTGGTTTATTTTGTTTTACGGCATATCAACCTCAAGAGGTTAATGTCTCTCAAAACCTTTTGGATAGATTCGTATGAATAGAATATGTATTCTTTTGTCTTAGATTGGTTTCCTTTATTTTTGTTTTTACGGCATATCAACCTCAATGGATTATTTAATGCCGACAAAATTTTTAGGATAGATTCGTATGAATAGAATATCTATTCTTTGGTTTAGATTGGTTTGGTTTATTTTGTTTTTACGGCATATCAACCTCAATGGGTTATTTAATGCCGACATTTTCAGGATAGATTCGCCTGAATAGAATATGTATTCTTTGGTTTATATTGGTTTGGTTTATTTTGTTTTACGACATATCAACCTCAGTTAATCCCGACAACATTTTTAGGATGGATTCGTATGAATAGAATATGTATTTTTTAGTTTAGATTGGGTTGGTTTGTTTTGTTTGACGGCATATCAACCTCAATGGGTTATTTAATGCCGATAACATTTTTTATTACTGTTAATATTTTGTTTTGTCAAAAATCTGTTTCTGGTAATATTTTTCCTTTCGAAATTGTATTGTTCCTAATAATTAAAAAAAATATTGCTGGTAATAGTTAACTATTTGCCCATAGCTGGGACCCTAACAGGTGCTAACACCCTTGGTCAGGGTGGACCTGGAAACACCAGCAATTAAGAGGTGATTCCATGTCTCTCAAAACCTCCTGATCAGAGGCCTTGTTGCTGGATGTAGTTTATCGTCTTACCCAGGACAACCAATGTTTATATAGGTGGTTTTGTTTATATTTTGCCACTGCATGGATATTGTCACTAAAAACCTAATAAGTCTAAGACTGAAAAAAAAATACCAAAACCGGATGCTGAGAGACTATATTTTTGGTCTCTTTCATTAATTATCCATATCAAAGCACAGCTCTATGCACCCATCCCCTTTATTATTCTACAATTTATGTGAATGCGGATGATTTTAACGCGACATTGCTGGCAAAAAAAAAAAGTGGTCCTGTGATCTATTTTGAGGACAAATCGCGCCAAAAGACGGTTTGTTTCGCCCAGCAATCACCTGGAGAGACCAGCTATATTAAGAACAAATAACCTTCCGACTTTTTAGAGATAACTGTGATGGTTGGCATGATAGACTCGTGACTGTCCCATCAGGCGGTTGTATGATAAAATAAATAAATAAACTGATCCAATCAATTTTTAAAATTTCCGAGTCTATCTTGCCATTTTTTTTTACCTATATTGTTGGTGGAATATAGGCAAAAAGCTT